CTTGTATGTCATTTGTTTCTCCATTAGTAGATTCCTAACTTCTTCCTTTACAGACTATCCTTCCCACCATCTTGCTTTGTGATAGAATCTCTTAAAAACACAGTGGAGGAGGATGTAGTGATTTTCTTTAACATTCACTAAAGACTATACATTTCCAGTGTCACACAACTTCATTTCTATTTTCCTGGGTATAAAACCACATTTTTAAGGTATCATATTCAGAAAGATTATGAGAGAAATAAAAATACTTGCATTTTAAATAATTGCTTGGTGGATGACAAAGTCCGGTTGCTACATACAATGTCCTCTCCTCAAATTTATATACCTCTTCTTTTTACATTCTCTTTTAATTTGTTTACATTTTCTTTCACAATTTTTTTTCTTTTCACCTTTTATGTCTTTAGTCCTAACTTTCCAACCTCTTGACTGTCTCATCCTTCCCTGTTAACACTACCACACGTATATCCTTTCCACTTGTGTCCTCGAGTCCTCTTTCCAAGAGCAGAAAATAGGGTTGGCCCGAGCCAACCTATGAGAAGAGATGTACCTTTCTTTGCCCTCCACCTAGAACTATCTTTCCTTTTCCTTTGGGCACCACTATTTTCTAAAATGGGCACCACCATTTTCTAAAGGTCTCTTGTGTCCCTCTAGTTGGTCATAATGGATTCAAGTGGGCCTTCTGTATTTCCCCAAATTCAGGACTATTTCTGATTTCATTTCCTGCAAGTGTTGACTTAACCTGTCCTGGGTCTCAAGGTAGCCTTAAGATCTGAATCCTCTGATGTCCCCAAATGAACTAATAGATCATGCATTCTCTTTCCTTAGGCAAAAGTATAATTACCAGGGGCTTTTTAGGGATTTTTGACTACATAAGAATAATACAAGGTATCATGGTGAAAGTGTTTTAGCATGCCTGAATTCCATCTCCTTTAAATATGCCATATCTGGCAGAAATTGACTAAAATGGAGAAAAACTCTAAAGTGGAAAATTGATATACTAGCTACTTTACAGATAAGAAAAGAACTTATTAAAGTTTCTAAAGATAAAATTTCTCAATAAAAAAATATATTCACCTGAGGGTTTTTTTTTAATTTTTAGGTAAAATGGAGTTATAAGGAAAATATACCTCAGCATTCAGTTTATCAACAACAACAGATATGTTTTCAGTTCCTTTCTGCTTTTATTTTTAACTAGTGAATTTTCATCACTTAAGAACTACACTGTATATAAATTTCTTCCTCTCTCCCACAATCCCTTCTCCTGGATTTCCTTTCACATTACTTTGAATAAAATATGACACACATCACTCCAAATCCCTCTATAATCTATTTGCCAAGTGTCTCACCATTTGTAAAGCACTTTGAAATACAGTGGCACATTTGGTTCTTACCACTCTGTGAGACAGATATGGTAGAGCCTGGGCCTATTTTGCAAAGAGGAAAACCAGTGCTCAGAGAAATTGCTATGCTACTCAGGTCATACAGTTTCGAGAAGCAGAACCAAGAACCTAACTCTCATCTTCTGACCACATCCACCTATCCAGACTCTTTTCCTGCTGAATTCCACATAGAACCTACCATGTAATAATTACAGCAGGTTTTCTTTTGTGTTGTTTCCAATTGAAAAGGAACACTAATGATTTAATTAAAAATATTAATGATTTAAAATTTTATGTCCAAACCCCACACCCGTGCAATCACATAACATCTTATGATTTTAAATCCTACATTCACAAAGGTGAGTGAACATTCCTTCTCTTTCTCAATATATACGTCAGAACACTTAAGTAAGGTGTCAGGCACTGCCAGCAAATTTGGAGTGAGATAAGGTACACGGATGAAATGTTGGTTTCTAGGACCACATTATCTGCATGATATTTATATTATTCATTGAGGCTGGGAATTACCACTCTAAAATGAAATATATGGAGTGTCTTTTTGAATTTCTCTGGTTTTCAAACATTCTTCTGTATATGTGACAACCCACAGAAGCCAATTCCTTTCTCAATCTCCCTACACCCTATCTGATGAGGATCTAATAGCTAGCTTTGTAATTTAAAAAGCAAACATGAATGTAAGAGCACAAAAAAGATGTTGTAATAGAGTAGACAGACGGTAGCCGTAAAGCTAAGTGATTCAATAATACTCTTGAAGCCTGGTACATATATTGACTCTCGTTTGGCATTTCTAGTAAATAATTTTTAGGTACTGAAATTTCGTAGAAGCTTTTCTATACCAACAACCTTCAAACTATTTCCTTTCTATATCTTAGTTTTCAAACAAGCTTTCCATCACTTTTGGTTTTCAAATGCATTTCTCCCCATTTATTATTCCTTTCATCTAATATTTTTCTTCATCTCATTTTTAACTAAATTTATTAAGAAAAGTTCTGAAAGCATTTTGGCCTGAAACCTAGAATTCAACACTAGTTCCAACTCAACCAGCAACAAAATTCATCCTTTTCTTTGCCCAGGGCATGTCCTGGTTTACCCTTTTAATTTACTGAAATCAAAAGGCAGGTTTGGGAGTATGTTTAGACTTGCCCCATTAGCTACAATACAGATTCAAGATGTTTTCTACATATCTTATTCCTGCTTTAGAAAATGGCTTAAAACTCTTCTCTTGTTACCTCTCATTAACATCACATTTTAGGATTGCCTGGAGTATTGCCCCTGGGCAACCCCCCTTCCCTTCTTCTACTCACCGGCTGCCTTTTGACACCTAGCCAATTTTTCCAGATCAGGACCCGAAGCTGATGAAACTGGGAAGCCATCCTTCAAACACCACGAACAAGAGAATTCCCCTCTTTTCCTCCACCCCACAGAAGAATTGCTACCCTGTCCAACTTGCTGTGTCAATGGGTCAAAGCCTTTTCACGGCATAACTTTCCTGAGGGCTGGGTAAGAAACCCACAGTTCTGCTGCTGCTGGATTTTTCCTTTGGCTTAATCCTTGAGCAGGGAGCACTTCTCAACCAGTTCTTATTCAGATAATGCCCTACTGTAAAAAAAAAAAAAAAGCTGAACCCACACCTCCTACTCTCCATGAAATTAACTGCCTATCCACACCTTCCTGAAGGTGTCACCTGCATTGGACACGTCATGAGGAATTAGGTGGGACTCTTGCCAGGCCAGTAGGACTTGTCCTACATTCTCTCGCCTTCTTTTCTACATAGTGTCTGCTGTAGCAGAGGCAGGACACATAGCATTTTACAGACTCTGGGCCCAGTGACTCATAATATTTAAATTGTCATTAAGATGTTTGAGCTCAATAAGGCCAGAGCTCAGCTAAAACACTCTGAACCTCAATCCATGGAGAAAGTCTCAATTTTTAGCCTAAAGTTGAGTTGAATGCTTTGATTTGGAGGGAAGTAACTATGTTGGCTAAGTTTCACCTTCTGTTACAATTTACTAGGTTAAACAAATTGCAGAAAATAAAAGGTAGGCTGTAGGTGGCATAAATGACATACAATGGATTCCCTCATTTGGGAGATGGGGGTTCATGTATCCATTATAGGAAAGCCACATTGTTTTAGGCTTTTATAATTAAGGAAGACACAGGCTGACGCAGGACATCACTGAATTTATGATATAGCAGAGTTCTAATGCACTTGAATATCCAAATCAGTAAAAGAAATCTATCATAAATTAGGAGAAAAGAAAAAGGCTCTATGCTTACATTATTCAAGGTATTTTCTAATTAAGTAATTTTAATTGTGATTTCAGGATACATGTGAAGGAGAACTCTGGCATAAAAGTTTCCAGGAGTAACCTTGCTTAAACACCTTAATGACAACCTATTCCCTCTGATATCAATGCCTCCACAATCTGGCTCCAGCCAATTTTTCAATAGTCTACTACAAATGTTTGACTGCTTGCCAAACTCATATATATTACAATGTGCAAACATAGCTCTGTTTTCTGGTCCTTGACTTGCTTATGCCATCTCTTCTACCTGGGATAAACTCCTCCCTCTCTAAGCTTCTACCTCTCGATATCATACTCAGGTTGACATCTTCCATGATGCCTTTTAAGAAATACCCTTAGGATATCCTCTCGCTTGCCTTTGAATCCAGCATAGTTCTTTGTTTATATTTCTCTCAAGGACCCTGCATTTCTTATTTTTTCCACTAGCTTGTCAGCTCTTAAAGAGCATAAACTATTTTATATCAAAATACTTCAGAATGATTAATGGTCAATAACTGCTGCTGAATTTAATTGAATATTGAGCCAAGGCTAGTGAAACTCTCCTTTGTTCCTTACACCTTTCTATGACTGATCCAGGTTCTATTTGTGAAATCAGTAAAAGCAGTGTGTGAGTTATCCTTTCAACGTTTGAGTTCAAACGCTGGTTCAGCTTCCTGGTCCCCATGCCGACTCTGAAATGTTGATGGCAGCCAGCCTGGGGCTGACTGGAGCCATGTTGGCACATGCCAATTACCTCAACTTTGGCTCTGTCCCTACTGTGATGAGTCTTTCCAAGCCTAATCCCTATTAGGCAGTCAGTCCTGAATATCTAGAACTTGGCTCTTGAATTTTTTTTCTGAACAAGGTTAAAGACAAGGTGCTCTTCAGACACTGGGTGCCTCTGGAGGTAATACTCTCCTTCACCACTTCCGGGATTCAGTGTCCAAGATTCTTCTGGCTTTCTCAAGATTTGCAGATAACTTGAGCTCCTGCTCCCTGCCTTCTTTCTCTGCCATCTGTCACAGTCTACAGCTCACTAATGGTTTGATTCACAAATAAATATTATTCACTTGTGAAGTCAAGGTGGGATTTGGTAATGTCCCTCTACATGTTGAGGGACATTACAGGTGCACAGAGTCACTTTATTCAGTCAGGTTACTTCAGCTTAAAAAGTACTGACTCACCACGTGACTGATGCAGGTGAGAGGTCCGCTCGAAAAGTATCAAATGGTTTCTCCTAGTAGCTATTTGTCATCTTTCCAGCGTAATCATGGAGTTGTTCTGTTGTTGGTTTAACTTTAGTTATAGAGTCTCTCTTTCAAGCTCTTCTCTGACCTGGACACCTTCATCTACTACCTCTAATTTTCTGATGATGATTATGTATTTTATTACAACCCATGACTTCCCAGGAGATTTATCTCTTCAAAGTAATTTCAAAACTATGTATTAAGTGTTTAATATATGTAATATATTCCTTTATACTGGAAGGCACACAATGTCATAACTCCAAATGTCACACACACTTACTTGGGGACTAGGGTATTCTTTCACAAAACATAATTCAAAGTAGTTTAAGGTGGGGTATATAGACAATGAGACCTCCAAACTTTGCCCCACTCTAAATATCTATATTCCGGCATCTATGTTGGCCATATCTGCTTCTACTATCTCCTTTAAGATTTTTAAATTTCTTTTAAAATTTACTTTTGAAAGCATCTTTTATGATTTCATTTCAGAAAAGGCCTTAGCTAACATTAATCTTGGAAGCTATAGCTTATGTAAATCAGGAATCACAATCTCTGATCAGAATAGAACTTAAAGAAATTATTAGACCAACCAAAAGGAAATGGAAGAGAATGTGGAAGGAGTTTAAAGATAGTGAATTCTTTTTTATTTTGTTTTGTACAGAAAGGTATAGCTTTGTGCCCTACTCCTGACTATAGATTGAGGTGCTTTGGCAGATATTTTAGGAGTTCCCCTTGAGGGAAGAAAGAACAATTTAGCAACCAGAAATAAGCTATATCCAGGACACATAGTTGCTGAAAAATGTTTTTTAAAAAGCAAAAAGCTAAACTGAAGAAAAAAAAATCAAATAAACAGGGGCAAATTAGAACAATACACAATCCATGAATGAATACATTTATCAGTAAACTGTTGACAGATTTTATTCCTATAGTTGTACTGAGAAGTTAAATTACTCTATTTGGCCAGACCATGGTGATCTGCCACACTATTTAGTGTTCCAGTGCTTCTGCCAGAGGCCAGCAGACACAGGCTGTCCTTGGGATGACTTCCAAGTCTTGGACCATAATATCTGCTTCTACTCCCTTTCTTTGATGTTGGTGATTCTACACTTTGGTGATCAACAGATGCATCCCTTTATCAAGCAAGGAGTCTACCAGAACTTAGGTAGCATTTGCTTTTGTGTGCTCACTTCACCAACAGTAAAACCAAAAAAAATATAGCTTTATCACAGAATAGCTTGCACAAAAATTAGCTAATCCTAGGATTCCAGCTTTCTGCTTTCCTGAATTCCAGTAACGGCAAGTTTTGGAGAACAGTTCAAACAGCCCAAATTTGACTGAGCTATGCACAGAATTAGTTTTGAACATGCGTGGTTATCCTCCTAAGGTTGGTCTTATCTAGGATCACCTCCAGAGTCACTTCATCTACTGAACCTAGTTAGAATGGTGGCTTAGCCAAGGCTGCACAACTGTGTAATTGACGGGCACCATACGCACTGGAGTGGCAGCTCTTGGCAGTCAATCATCATGTAGCACACTCCAGGACCAGAGCAAGAGGGAATGGGCCCAACCATGAGTAGGATATTAACACAGCTGAAACACCTTAATTTGTTTTAGTAGTATTAAAGATCTACATTAATAATAATAAATACTAGACTATAAAGCCTCTATTTGTTTAACTCATCATTGTGTAATAGGAATTTAACATAGATCTTGCCTTATAGTAGGTGGTCAATTAATGCTTATTGAATAACTGAGTAGCAAACATTTGTTAAGCACTTACTGAATTATCACGGGAGGGCTATCATGTAGAAAGTGGCATTATCCTCATTTTCAGAGGAAGAAAGTGACATTCAGAGAGGATATAACTTGCCTAAGTTCACCTAGTTAGAAGTGGAGATGGTGAGAACAGCAGCGGGGGATCTCAACCCCTACATCTATACTTTTCATCTCCATGTCTTGCTGCCTCCAATCTTGTGTACTGCACTGTGTGGGAAGAACTGAGAAGGAAAGAAAAGAACTTCAGGGTTTTCCCTGGTTTTCTAGGGGCCCATAAATCACTTGTAGAGTTTTACTGAAAATGAAAAATTATTGCCAAAATAAGTGCGCAAAGAATTATTGCACCAGGAAGTCAGGAAAAAGAAGGCTGCTCTTTTTAGGCTTCTTGGTAGAACAGCCAAGAAGTTCCCAGGGTGGCCCTTGCCAGCTCCCTTAGGTGTGTCTGCACTCTCAATCATCCCTGTTGCTATCTGCTGTAATGCCTTGGATGAAGACTATTCACTTTCAGGCTTTGTCATGCGGCTCCCTCGTGCTCATTCTTAAACACCTGACTCAAGTGTTGCTTCCTCTCTGAAGCCTTTCCCAGCCCTTCCACCCACCACGCCCCAACTCCAGGATGAATTAATCATCTCTTCATCTATTTTACTATTGACTTCTTCATAAAGATACTCAACTCCTTATTAGCCTCTGTCACAGTCAGTCTTTCTCCTCATCTACACTCTGAGCCCCTAGAGGACAGAAACAGTGGGTTGGGGATTAAGTCTATATCTTTGGAGAATGGTGAGGACTCTGACCTGACTAGATCTAAGAGCTGGTTTGAAGTGGTAGCAGATAAAATTTGAAGAGTGAGGGACCTTAATGCTAAAGAACTCAAGATGCCTTTTTGAGGACTCAGAATGGGAAGTTCCTGGCAACTCTTCTAAAGAGAAAAGGCAAGATAAAACTGATGCTGTGGGAGGATGAAAATGTTCGTGGTTGGGGGGCCCCTGGATGGCTCAGTCAATTAAGCATCCGATTCTTGATTTCAGCTTAGGTCATGATCACAGGGTCATGAGATTGAGCCCC